AAGCCCAAAGGCCACTTTTCTGCCCTAAAACTAATTGGGTGTCACCGATGCTTACCCTGAATATTTTTATTAAAAAACCTAATCACTCAGTACTGCTGCTCTACTAAAACTGCTGGCAACAGACTCAACTTCAGTCTATCACAGGAACATCATAGGAATCTTTGGCATAAGAACTATAAGGGGCATGTGGCAGATCTGGCTGTCACACTGGAGACATATTTAGGTATTTTGCATTTATTTTAAAAACCTTTTTTTGTGAACTAGTGCTAGATTCTTCCTGATTTGAATGAAAGTGGCGTAATCAGATAATCTGGAGTCTGGAGACATTTCAACCAAGGTTCATCACCAGATGACCAAACATCCAGAGTGGCCAGGGCCACTTTTTCAAAAATCTCGATAATTCTTAAGAGAAATATGATATCATTACCAAACTCATGAATGATTGTACAAGATTGATCTGAGGTCACTGTAAAAACAGTAGTGCAGTTTGACCACATAGTGGTTCCACAATGCAAATTGTTTAACCGAGGAACCGCTTATCTGACTGATTTGAAAATTTTAAATCCGCATGCAGTGACTTCATTCAAGGTGGCACCCAGGCCACCAAGAGGCAATATTGCATTGCATGTGTCTGTAATTCATTCATTCATTCATTTTCTTTTCAGCTTAGAACCGCCGACATATCCAGCATTTGTTTTACGCAGTGGATGCCCTTCCAGTTGCAACCCATCTCTCTCCATACACACTCTTACACTATGGGCAATTTAGCCTATCCAATTTACCTGTTGCAGGCTAGAGCAACCGGAGGAAACCCATGCGAACGCAGGGAGAACATGCAAACTCCACACAGAAATGCCAACTGACCCAGCCGAGGCTCAAACCAGTGACCTTCTTGCTGTGAGGCAACAGCACTACCTACTGCGCCACTGCGTCACAAACAAAAGAAGTGACTGTATATTATAGCATTTTGTACACGATTCCTTAGCAGAAACTCTTCCTCAAACTAAATTCAAGGATCACATACAGTAATACAGTTATAAAGAAGGACGACAATCTTTAACAACTTCAACCAACTGGTCACATTACAGCTGTTAAAATGTGGAAAAATCTATCTTGATGTGACTGGACTGGTACTTTTTTGTAACACTCTGAACTAGTCACAGATTTACTAAAGGATAAATGCATGTTTACTAAAACAATTATTGGCTAAATTGCTTTTTCCTGACTTGGTCAATGTTTGCAGATACAACTGAAGAGTTCAGATGCAAAATCCTCTTGTTGCTAAAATTTCATTCGTTTGTTCGTTCGTTTGTTTGTTCGTTTACTCATTTATATTCTTTTCGGCTTAGTTTCTTTATTAATCAGGGATTGCCACAGTGGAACAAACCTACAACATTTCTAACATATGTTCTACTCAGCGGATGCCCTTCCAGCTGCAACCTATTACTGGGAAACATCTATACACATGCATTTACACACATACAACTTTGGAAAATCTAGCTTACTTGCTTACTTAATTCACCTTGCGCATGTCTTTGGACTTGTGGAGGAAAATCAGAGCACCAGGAGGAAACCCATGCAAACACAAAGAGAACATGCAAACTCCACTCAGAAATGTTAACTGACCCAGCCAGGGACCTTCTTGCTGTGAGGCGACAGTGCTACCCACTGCGTGGCACTTGCTGAGATGTACTTCTAAAATCAGCATTATTCTCAGGCTCCTATGTGTAGGAACAGTAATGTTAATGTACTTTTATGTCAATGAATTGTTTTTTTCGTTGCTGTTAAAGTTAAGTAAATAAACATAAACATAGGAAGCTGAGAAAAATGTTCATTATAGAAGAAAAGTTCAGACAGCATTTAAAGTCTTTCGCATCTGAACATTTTTTTGGAGAGATTTCTGTAAAAATGCTGTCAGCTTTTATTTTGTTGGCATTTTTTTATCAATGTTTAGATGCTGAAGATTAGTGGCTGTCAGATTAATAGGTTATCAGCTGTTTCCTCACACAGTCAATGATCTTTAGCTTATTGAGCTGTCATGACATCCATTGAAAGAAAGTCAACTCATTTTCACTCCAAACAAATCAGATAAAAAATAATGAAAATCATGACCCAAAATATCATGACACCTATAGTACTCTCTGAACGCTAACATTTTCATGCTTTTCACTTCAATATTGAAGGTAATGTACACGTTTAACTGTGTGTAGCTAGAAAGTTGCAAGGGTGCTACTGCGCAAATGTATTAGACATGATTGAAGATCAATGACAGAACAAAGTGGTGTTGGCGAATCTGAATTAATGAGTGCCAAAAACAGCGAGAAAGTGAAAGAAAGCAAGATTTGTATTACTCTATGTTTGAATTTAAAAGATAGGATTTCACTCAGTGTGCGACCCATTTTAAAGTTTGTTTTGATAATGTTTTAGGCTCCCAAAAGATGTGCTCTGATAGCGTGCAAGGTGATAGAAAACTATTTATAAATCATAACATGCCAAATTGGCTGGTGGGTTGATTTGCATTACATGCCCCATTTAATTACCACCTGTGTTTGGTGGGTGTTCATTTCAAACCCTTTATACAAGTAGATCTCAGCAGGTCAGAATTTACTTTCTTCAAAAGACCTTTATGCATGACAAGCCAATAACCCAAAGTATACTTCAGTTTTATGTCTAGAGGGTCTGTCGATAGCTTGACATCTAAACAACACACAGTGCACAGCTTGATTTTTGAAACTGGACATTTTTACTGTAAGGTTTTTAAAGCTTGCACGTTGTATTTGAGTTAGATTACCCAATGACTAAACTTCTGCCACTGATAACACCCTTGTGTTGTTCAAACCCCCTGAGAGCTTCATATTCGAAACACAAACTATGAAATTTGAGATAAATTCTGAGACCTCCTTTATTTTCTATAGACAGCAATGGCCACACGTTTAGGAATTTCCACAAGAAAGGAAACCAAAGACAAAGAAATCAAAGATTTGTCATGTCATGATAAAGAGTTTATGACAGTC